TCAAACCCGAAAATGTACTCTTTCTATGGTAACTAGAATATTTTCTAAGAATTCTGAGAATAACATTCATGAGTGTTAGGCAAATAACCTAATTTTTCTATTTAATTTTCAGCAGTTTAAATTAGATTTGTCATCAACAAATCATATGCATATTATACTTACAAGATGGCGAATAAGTCACAAGTAGCACACTAGGGTTTTTTTTTAAGAGACGCTTCTCCCAGTGCAGTAAAGACAGCCTGCAGAACAGGCTTCTACGGTAGGACATCTGGTGCAGTGCAAATCTTTGTTGTAGACGACTTTTCTCTCTCTCTGGATAGAGCTTTATAGTCATGACTATAAAGTTCTATCCACTAATAAAAGCTTGTTCTGCAATGTGTCTTTTGTTTATTATTGTGCGCTATTTGGCTCTCATCTTAAAAATGTTTAGAAGATTCATGAATTGTACCTCCAAGATATTTTACCTTTATGAAAGTAGCGAGGTCTCTGAGGGACTTCGTTATATTTCTCCAAATGGGTAGGTAAACGATCGTCTTCGCCATCCCGGGGATGAAGAACAGAGGATGAATCAAATTCGTATCAGCCGGCTGCAAGAAGGTTTCAATGACCTTGGCAACCTTGGCGTCATCGTGAGGAAACCTTTTTCCCATCACAATCCTCCACACGACATTTACCACAGACCGATTGAACAGACGCTGCAGGATACACGTTGAGGGGAAGGGGGGAGGGGTTGGAGAGATACACAAAAAAATGGATAAAACAGAGACACGCATAGCAAAAGATCTTTATTGTTGCGACGTTTCACCAACAAGAGGTGAACCATCGTAAAAATAAAAAGGCCTACTTTTGCTATATGTTATTTTCAAAGATTACTAGAATGAAAAGTCGGTATAATAAAATCATACACTCATGTATGTGAGTTTTAACGCACTTTCGGGCTCACTGTCAATCAATTAAAAGTCGATTTCCTACGGATAAGAATTTCACAGTCACTGGAAAGTAACGAACTGCTGTGCAAGGCGGACATGGAACATACAAAAACAATAAATAGAAGGCACAATAGGAGACATATAACATATTTTTTTAAGTTAATAAAGTGAAATACAGGCTTAGTATATGTGTCTTTTATTTCCCTCCACATCGCAGCGATAGTAAAGGAGAAGGATCTATTTCTCTCACGACTATCGGGTTAGTGATAGGTGTTTGGAAGCTGCAATGTTAGTGGACGGGTTGTGAAGGTTAGCTGAGAGTCTTGTAGAATAACATGGCTGGAACATTTCACAAATAATCCAGATATTGAATAGGCTGAGGGACTGATTACCTCGTTTTTTGTATCCAGTTCTACTCTCTTCACATTGCGTCATCATCACAACCAGCTACCACAAACGCTGTCTCCACCATAACCAACTACTACCAACGTCTACTTCACCATTACAACAACCAACTATTATCAGTGCTTCTTAATTTATCACAGTCAACCTTCATCAACTCCTCCATCACAATCAACCATCATCACCCCTTCATCACAATCATTCATCATCACCCCCTCCATCACAATCATCCATCATCACCCCCTCCATCACAATCAACCATCATCACCCCTCCATCACAATCATCACCCCTCACCTTCATGACGATGGGCTGACCCTCTTGCTGCTGGATGTGATCCATCAGTTCAGTCACCTCCTTTACGATCAAGGGTTCACAGCTGGTCTTCCCGAACCCGAAGTCCCGCAGGTGGCGCAGTACGAACCTCCGCAGTTCTTGCCACGTCTGACCGTTCCCACCGAGAAGACCTGCAGAACGTGTAAAACATGGAGCAATATGGAACCTGTAAGGAACACAAAATACTGCTGGGCTTTGACGTGACACTGGTTGGCTGGCTGGATTAATTCAGTGCCTATAAACTGCACAAGATTATTCAAGGATGCTGTTCACCTGTACGTCACTAATTAAGAAAATTTCAATCCCTAAAATAAGTAATAAAGTTAATTAATTAAATATTGAATGAGATATACACTCCTCCTATATACATATATGTAGTGAGAAATATACACCTTACTGATCAATAGTTTCACTTCTCAATAGTTTCACGTCCTTGGCAGAAACACACGATTCGTTTACATATGTTGGGGTGTGTATGTGATTTTCTTTGTATGTATGTGTGTGTGTGTGTGTGTGTGTGTGTGTGTGTGTGTGTGTGTGTGTGTGTGTGTGTGTGTGTGTGTGTGTGTGTGTGTGTGTGTATGTGTGGTGTGTGTGTGTGTGTGTGTGTGTGTATGTGTGTGTGTGTGTGTGTGTGTGTACTCACCTAGTTGTACTCACCTAGTTGAGGTTGCGGGGGTCGAGTCCCGAGCTCCTGGCCCGCCTCTTCACTGATCGCTACTAGGTCACTCTCCCTGAGCCGTGAGCTTTATCATACCTCTGCTTAAAGCTATGTATGGATCCGCCTCCACAAACATCGTTTCCCAAACTATTCCACTTACGCTACTCTGTGGCTGAAGAAATATTTCCCTAACATCCCTGTGATTCATCTGTGTTTTCCCAGCTTCCAACTGTGTCCCCTTGTTACTGTGCCCAATTTCTGGAACATCCTGCCCTTTGTCCACCTTGTCAATTCCTCTCAGTATTTTGTATGTCGTTATCATGTCCCCCCTATCTCTCCTGTCCTCCAGTGTCGTCAGGTTGATTTCCCTTAACCTCTCCTCGTAGGACATACCTCTTAGCTCTGGGACTAGTCTTGTTGCAAACCTTTGCACTTTCTCTAGTTTCTTACGTGCTTGGCTAGGTGTGGGTTCCAAACTGGTGCCGCATACTCCAATATGGGCCTAACGTACACGGTGTACGGGTCCTGAACGATTCCTTATTAAGATGTCGGAATGCTTTTCTGAGGTTTGCTAGGCGCCCATATGCTGCAGCAGTTTATTTGGTTGATGTGCGCTTCAGGAGATGTGCCTGGTGTTATACTCACCCCAAGATCTTTTTCCTTGAGTGAGGTTTGTAGTCTCTGGCCCCCCAGACTGTCCTCCGTCTGCGGTCTTCTTTGCCTTCCCCAATCTTCATGACTTTGCACTTGGTGGGATTGAACTCCAGGAGCCAATTGCTGGGCCAGGTCTGCAGCCTGTCCAGATCCCTTTGTAGTTCTGCCTGGTCTTCGATCGAGTGAATTCTTCTCATCAACTTCACGTCATCTGCAAACAGGGACACCTCAGAGTCTATTCCTTCCGTCATGTCGTTCACAAATACCAGAAACAGCACTGGTCCTAGGACTGACCCCTGCGGGACCCCGCTGGTCACAGGTGCCCACTCTGACACCTCGCCACGTACCATGACTCGCTGCTGTCTTCCTGACAAGTATTCCCTGATCCATTGTAGTGCCTTCCCTGTTATCCCTGCTTGGTCCTCCAGTTTTTGCACCAATCTCTTGTGTGGAACTGTGTCAAACGCCTTCTTGCAGTCCAAGAAAATGCAATCCACCCACCCCTCTCTCTCTTGTCTTACTGCTGTCACCATGTCATAGAACTCCAGTAGGTTTGTGACACAGGATTTCCCGTCCCTGAAACCATGTTGGCTGCTGTTGATGAGATCGTTCCTTTCTAGGTGTTCCACCACTCTTCTCCTGATAATATTCTCCATGATTTTGCATACTATACATGTCAGTGTATGTGTGTGTGTGTATGTGTGTGTGTGTGTGTGTGTATGTGTGTGCGTGTGTGTGTGTGTGTGTATGTGTGTGTGTGTGTGTGTGTGTGTGTGTTTATGCAGGAGGAAGGAGTTACCTACCTAAATTGATTGCCTGTCCGTCGCTCAGCAGGTAGTTCCTCGTGGCATTGAGGACCATAGGTGGCTTGTCAGCAGACGCCTTGTGTGTGTAAACCTCCTTGATTGTGGACAACCCGCTGATCAGCACCACCCTGGCCAGGAAATCACCACTCCGGTATATCTCAATATATATATATATATATATATATATAAATTATATAATATATATAATATATATATATATATATATTATATATATATATATATATATATATATATAATATATATATAATAAATCTGTGTGTGTGTGTGTGTGTGTGATATCCTGAGACTGGGTCTTCAGAATATTATTAGCCAGAATTTATGGGGGTGTACAGGCCTATATAAGGTCAGGAGAAAGTAGCTAAGAAACGATTCTACTGCTAGCCTATGCTGAGGACAGGACCCCTGTCTCTGGGTAGGAGAGGCGGAACTTTTCTGTGGCAGCTGGATCTTAGCTTGTAATCCTTGTGGAAGCTGAACTCTTAGCTTATGCTCCCTGTGGAAGCTGGACTCTTAGCTTATGCTCCCTGTGGAAACTGAACTCTTAGCTTATGCTCCCTGTGGTAGCTGGACTCTTAGCTTATGCTCCCTGTGGTAGCTGAACTCTTAGCTTGTACTCCTGTGGTAGCTGGACTCTTAGCTTGTACTCCCTGTGGTAACTGTTAAATACTATTTTATCAGCTAATTATAATCTTCAGTTCTAAGTAACTTGCTTTGTTATCTTTTCCTGGATATCTTAAATTATCAGATAGGTAGCTTATTAACCAAGTAATTAGTAAAAAGTAATTAAATATTAATAAATTACAATAATGAGAAAATGGTATAAAATACCGACAGGTTGTTATATCGAGGGGTTCTTAAAAGGAGATATCGAGGGTTGAAGGGTTTAGACACACTTGTTGGATGGTAACGATATATTGTCAGACTCTGGTAATGGGAGATGGAGCCCAGCCTCTGCCTTGTCACTGCCTAGCTGGATGTCTATGCGCCGACTGAGGCCGAGGTAGCTCGCCTCACACTCAAGCTGCATCCCGTGACGTCATACAGTCACAGGCCTAAGGGGTCTTCTATATAAAGCACATGGATGATATTATGAAAATGCTATACAACACAGGGATCAGCAACTATGCTGACAGTTAGGTAAGACACAAATGCAACAGTAGGTATCTTTATTACGAAACGTTTCGCCTGCACAGTAGGCTTCTTCAGTCGAGTACAGAAAAGTTGATAGAAGCAGAAGATACTTAAAAGACGATGTAAATCAGTCCATCACCCTTGAAGTTTTGAGGTGGTCAGTCCCTCAGTCTGGAGAAGAGCATTGTTCCATAGTCTGAAATAATATGGAGTGGAAGTGTATGTATGTATGTATGTATAATGTTCGCCAAGACCGTAGTCCGGGCACGGGTCTCAATCTTGCGATGACCCGTCTCTGGCTCCCGAGGGAGAAAGGTTTCTACAATGATGCGACGTATGCTGCTCAAGCACTTTTCTGGTCAGTTCAACTGGTGCATCTCATAAGCGATGACACCATATGTACTCCTAACTGTGGACACTAGCGAGGAGGAGGATATGAATCAGTGGTCAGTGGTCACGTGAGGTCACAGACCCTGAGCTGCTTTGGGGATTAGTGTGGACGGTTACAAAGCATGGCTTGCTTCTGCAGTGTTTTAAAAAATTGAGGTTGGAGAGTTGAAGGAGGAGGTCTTGCTTCTCCAGGAGGAGATTAGGAGGCTGAAGGTCCACCTCAATGGGTCTGGGAGAGAGTGTGAGGTGGCTGGAGTTAGTGGGGAATGAGGCTATCTAGCAGTGAGGGCAGTCTGTCTCTCGCTGTGAGGAGGCTGTAGTTGGGGAGGTAGCCCAAAGGCTACCAGCAGTGAGGTACATCCAGCACCTGCTACAAGTGGCGAGTGGTTCACAGTAATGGAAGGCGCATCAAGTAAGGAAAGTTAAGATGAAGATCTGAAGGAGGAAACTTTTTTCTGTTCTTCAGGATGAATTTCTTCAGTGGCCAGGAAGGTAAGGGACACGCCCCTGCAATGGAGGTAAGTGCATTCTTTTGGTTGTGACTCTAGGAAATACATTGACCGTCTTTTTGTAAAAGGGAATAAGAAAATGAGAGATAGAGTGTGC